ACTGGGGACAGGGGATGACTGTACCCACCACCCCCGGCTGGGTGGAGTTTAGGGGAAGGATGTTAGGAGCACCCCAACCCCTGTCAGTGCCTACCCTGGGGCACAGGGGCTTCAGGGAGGGTCATGTCCCATCACCTGTGTCCACCCCCAGGTCAGTGGGGAGAAGAAGCCGGTGAGCAGCACATCAGGCATGCAGACCAGTGTGGAGACCAGCCCCTTGCTAAAGGTATGGGGTGATGCACCTCATCCTGCCTGGGCAGGGATGGGGTCCCTTTGCCCATGGAATGGGGCTGGAGGGCGTGCAGTGACACCCAAAGGATTGTGGTGCAGTGGATGTCACCAGATTGGGGTAACTGTTATCCACCTGCCATGGGTGTCACTGAATTGAGGGGACCACCTGCTTGCTGTGGTGTCACCATTCGGTGATGGGGTGATGGTGACCCACCTGCCACAGGTGACACTGAATTGGGGTGTCCATGACCCACCTTTCATGGGTGTCACTGATTTGGGGTGACCACAACCTACATGTCATGAGTGACATTGATTTGGGATGACTATGACCCACCCACCCTGGCAGCACCGTGCAGAGGTGGTGGTCCCGGAACGCCTGGCCCAGATGATACAGCACATCCAGAAGAAGGACTTTGAGGGCTTTGGCCAGCTGGCCATGAGGGACAGCAACCAATTCCATGCTACCTGCCTTGACACCTTCCCCCCCATCTTCTACCTCAACGACCTGTCTCGCCACATCATCGCCCTGGCACATCGCTTCAACACCCACCATGGCCACACCAAGGTACCAGCTGTGCCCCACAGGACTCTGAGTCTGCCACCATGCTGTGGTCCCTCCCCAGGTCCCCACATCCCCTCCACTCCTGCCACAGGTTGCCTACAGCTTCGATGCTGGCCCTAATGCTGTCATCTTCACCCTGGCCGACACTGTGGATGAGTTTGTGGAGGTGGTGAGACGCAGCTTCCCCCCTGCCACCAACGGGGACCAGTAAGGCAATCCTGTCTCTGACGGGGTGGGATGGGGGGGCTCTGGAGGACAGGACTGAGTGCTCCCTGTGCCACAGGTTTGTCCGGGGGCTGCCCGTGGGCTCGGCTGTGCTGCCACAGGAGCTGGTGGCCACAGTGGTCACAGAGCCCATTCCAGGGGCCATCCAGTACATCCTGCACACCAAGGTGAGGGGCTGGGGGACATGTCTTCCTGGCCTCTGGTGAGGCTCTGGCCCCTGCCCTGGCCCTAGGGAAGTGGTGGGATCCCATTCCTGTCCCCAGGGGTGCACAGGACCCCATCCCTATCCCCATCCCCAGGGCAGTGTGTGGGACCCCATCTCCATCCCCATCCATCCCAAGGGGGGTGTGTGGGACCCCATTCCTGTCCACAGGATTGCATAGCACCCCATCCCCAGGGTGGATTGTGAGACCCCATCCTTGCCTTCATTCCCAGTGGTGTGTGGGACCCTATCCCCAGGGGTGCACAGGACCCTATCCCTGTCCCCATCCCCAGGAGTGTGTGCAGGACCCCATTCCCAGGGGGATGTGTGGGACCCCATTCCTGTCCCCAGGGATGCACAGGACCCCATCCCTATCCCCAGGAGGGTGTGCAGGACCCCATCCTAGATGTGTTCCTGTTGGCACAAGCCATGGGGTGACATTTTGGGCTCTCTGTGGCCCCAGAGATGCCCCCCAGCCCCATGGGTGGGGGGTCCCTGCAGGCAGCAGGACCCCCCAGTGTGCCTAACCCTGTCCTGCCCCACAGCCTGGCCCTGGTCCCCAGCTTGTGGATGACTCCAGTCAGCATCTCCTGGGAGCAGATGGGCTGCCCTGCTGCCGTGCCTGACCCTGGTGACACCCCAGGGACTGCTGTGACACACCAGGGAGCTCTGCTGGTGCCACCCGGGGGACTCGGGACCCTGAGCCAGGCCTGGTGCCAAGCCATCCCCAGCCCTGGGGCAGGATGTGCCCCCGGGGCTGGTTTTTACTCTTTTGTAAGGAAATAGAGGGCTCCTGACTGAAGAGCTGGTTTGGGGTGTTGGGTTCTGTGTGTGGTGCTGGGAGGGGACAATGCCAGCCTAAAGGGGGGCAGGAGTTGGGGACAGTCCTTCCTAATGGCTGTGGCTGATCCTGTCCTGCGTCCTGCTGTGCAGCCATATCACCCCACATGGCCTCTGTTCCTCCCTGTGTCCTTTGTGGGGCTGAGCCTGTCCCCTATTCCTCCTAGTTGTCTCTTCTGGGACTGATCCTGTCCCTCCATGTGTCCTGTGTGTCCCTGCACAGTCCCCAACACCCCACGTGGTTCCTGTCCCTTGCACATCCCCTGTCCCTCCCCATCCCTTTCAGGACTCATCCTGGTCCCTCAGATGTCCCTGATAGGACTGCTCCTTTCTTCCCACATGATCCCTGTCCTCTGCATGTCCCTTGTAGGGCTGGTCCTGTCCCTCTGGACCTTTCTTGCCATCCCAACATGTCTCCTGTCCCCCTGTGTCCCTTGCAGGACTGATGCTGTCCCCTCTCCCTCACATGTCTCTGCTGGGGCAGATCCTGTTCCCCTGGACCAGACTGATCCTGTACCCCAGCATAGCCCCTGACCCTCCCATGTCCCTTGTGGGGCTGATCCTGTCCCCCAACACTATCCTTGTCACCCAGCATGTCCCCTGTCCCTTCATGTCCCCTGGGCTGCTCCTGTCCCTCTGGACCAGATTGATCCTGTCCTGCTGCAGCCATTCTCATCACCCCAACTTATCTCCTGTCCCCCCGTGTCCCTTGGACTGATCCTGTCCCCCACATCACCCTCATCACCCCAACATGTCCCCTGTGTCCTTTGCAGGGCTGATCCTGTGTCACATCCTTCAGATGTCCCTGCTGGGGCTGATCCTGTCCCCACCTTGTTGCATGGGCTGATCCTGTTCCCCTGGACCAGACAGATCCTGTCCCTGCACATCACCTTCATCGCTCAGCATGTCCCCTGTTCCCCCATGTCCCCAGGGCTGATCCTCATTGCCCCACCTGTCCCCCCACGGCCCCT